TGGGGGGGGGGGGGAAAAAAAAAAAACGAAAAACCGTTGAAGGGGTGGATTTTTTTTTAAATTTATAAAAAAAAAAAAAAAAAAAAAAAAAAAAAAACATACAAAAAGTGTTAGTTTGAAAATAACTTCTATTTTTTTTCATTCAGTAGTTTCAGGTTTTGAGACAATAAATAAATAAATAAAAAATGTCTGCAATATTATCATGTAAAACATGCAGATGAAGCCGAACTCTAGCATGTTACTCTTCATTTCCTGGTCCATACGAGCAAAGGCTTATCAGCAAAGAGCCAAAACGTTTATGGATCGCCAAACAGAATTGTGTTTCAAATAATGAATGGTGTGAGAATCCCTTCATTTTTTTATTACAGAGCGTTTGAGTCACCATGAGAAGTGCTACAGTTTATTAGAGCAAACTGTACATCATGTTGGTTGATTCTCATTGGTCCATAGTCTTGATTTTGCCTTTAGCTTGTCTACAGTAGAGAAGTGTGTTCTTCACTATATTAGAAAAAGGCTCACTTATGACATACAAGTATAAAAAACTCAAAATTGACTACAGAACATTTCCAAAGGTCATAAAAATTTGTCAAATCTAGTAAAAAAAAATTTGCCATAACCAGAAATATGTGGCCTATTGGTAGTTCAGAATCCTCAGTGACATTAATTTTGCTTCCTCATTACAAATATAAAAATGGAAAAACAGGAAAATTGATGTAAAAAATTACCTGATTTTATCAAAGTTAGTAGTTGATATGTGTTCAAAATTACTAATAATATATTATCTACACCAAGCTTCCTGAACATGAGTTAATGTTTAAAATGTTCTTTGCTACCACCAGGTGGAAGTTAAAAGAAACTGCAGCGCATTTACTGTTTAAAAGCCTCATTGTCATGCTACCGAGTATGGAGAGCCATTTCAGCCAAAATTAAATAAATAAATAAAGGGGTGAAATAAGTAAAAACATGAGTAAAATAAATCAATAAATGAAAAAAATGAGTGAAATAAATAACAATTTGTTAAATAAATAAGTAATTGTCATTTTTAGTCCCATTTGTACGTATTTGTTCCCCATACTACATACATACCAAATTTCAGATCTCTTAGATGTATGGTTTGTCCTCCCTATCTCCAAGGGATAGCCCAGCCACCCTGTGGAGGAAACCCATTTCAGCCGCTTGTATACATGATCTCGTTCTTTCGGTCATGACCCAAAGATCATGACCATAGATGAGGGTGGGAACGTAGATCGACCGGTAAATCGAGAGCTTCGCTTTTTGACTCAGCTCTCTCTTCACCACGACGGACCGGCACAGCGCCCGCTTCACGGCAGACGCTGCCGCAATCCGCCTCTCGATCTCCCGCTCCCCTCTTCCCTCATTCTTGAGGGAAGAAAAAAAAAAGCCAAATTGTCATAAAATAAGGTTGAATAAGCATATTTATACTGTATATTTCGTCACAGCTGACAGATTTAATGTAGTTATGCTTTAAATTATTTGAGGCTTACCTGAAACAGTGACGGTATTACTGCACTTTGTTTTATTTGAGCTCCTCCTGCGTCCACAGCACTGAAATTCACCACTATGCTGCAGAGGTTCAAGTGTGATGCTTTTATCTGGGTTGATGGACAGATATGGTTCATTATCCCTGTTCAGCCGATATTCCCAGTCAGTGGCTTCTGCTTCATTCCTGTCACAGGTGAAAGTAACAAACTCCCCAGAATAAAAAGTCGACCAGTTGGGCTCAACAGTCAGCACAGCATCTACAACAGAAACAACATTTAGCCGATTTCTTGTCTAGTTCACCATGAATGTAAATTCTTGATGCAGAAGTAAAGCAGATGTTGTTTCTGAGAGGAAGAATCAGGTGGAGTTACATTGAGTTTGTCCACAGCAGAGGGGTGTGTGAAGCACTGAAATAAAGGGTTAGCATGTTTTTTAAAAGTAGAAACATTTCAGAAGTTCAAATAAAACAAAAGAAAACAAAAGAGCCCCACCCTCACATTTAACACTGAAGCTGTTGTTCTGTTTAACAAATGGATATATTTATTTAAAGTTAACAAAAAGGACGTATTAGTTCTCATGAGGATTAGATCAAAAGTTTCAGTCAATCATTGTCTCATGGAAATCAAACTTCATTTCAAAATACTGCAACAAATTTGGCTGCTGATCAAAAGTTCTTACTGTTTTTTATGCTAATTTAATCTTGACTTACACAAAGTTCAGAAGATATACGATGAACAAATGGTCAAATGTAGCAGGAAGCAATCTACAACAACAGGAAAGAAGCACAAGAGACAGTTCTGATGCTAATTAAAAAAAAAACCTCTCCTGTCCTTTCAAGTATTTTTTTATTTGTAATTATTCAAACACAGAAAGATGTCTACTTACACAATAAGCTCAGCACAGAAGCTGTGGTGATCCCCACCCTGGCTTCCAGACAGGAAGAGACAAGTCTCCTTCAGTGTCTGTAGACGAACAGAACTGTGGCAAACAGGATCGATGTTTTATCTCAGAATGTATCACATCTCATGAAACACTGACATAACTTCACTTGGTTTCTGTGGCATTTAGAGTTCACTACTAACGAGAGGTGCTCTCTCATAAACAGGAAATAAACTGGAGACATTGCTGTAAAGAGTCCAGTGCAACAGTCCTTTCCTTCTTGGTATTGTATATTAACCTGTATGCACCTCACCAGGGCAGCTGCAGATTAGTGAATTAGTGTTAAATTGTTTATTTGGTGCAGTGTTTGGTTGCCTGTGCATACGAACAAACTGGCAGGTGAATTTTAATTTCCTCCTTGTATCTAAACAGAAGTTCATGGCAATAATGATTTCACTCAAAACCTAAAAAAACAGAGGTGTGAAAAAACAGAGGAGAGTTTAGAAACACTGTGGTGGTGAAACAGGAAAGACAAAGATCTTAAAAAAGAAGTTCTAAAAAACATGCAGCAAGTGAAGGACATGGTCATGTGAAAATGAATAAACATTTGCTCTTCATGTCACGTTTATTAAAAATGTATTAAAAAACTTAAAGTCAATATATGGCATATATGATGTATTTTGTTTGGTTATCAAAACAGTAAACATGCTGCCTTAATGTGAGGTTTTTCATTTGACTCTCTTAGTGTGCATGTAAGCACCGAGCTAATGCGGCTTAGAGCCTTACCAACAGGTTCTACCACAAGGGGGAGCCAGTGAGTCAGAACCCAGGGAGACGGAGACCAGCCAGAGTTTGAATAGAGTTTTATTCCCAGTGGGCACCAGAGTACTATGACTATATGTGATGTTGAGTGTATTTAAAAATTTGTGTGAGAGTAGTTTCATGCGAGCAGGTCTTCTCTAAAGCTGCAGAGGTAGTGAGCCACTCTTTTTGACTGAAGTCAAAAAGAGTGGAAATTATGATTTAAAAAAAAAATAAAAATCTTTGACTGTTGCTCCAATCCTCGTCTTATATGAATCACTGTTGTGACATTATAGCATAAAGTTATAGGTTCTTGGATAATAAGATTCATGGACTAATAGTGATATTTACAGTCCAACAGAATAAGGTCACTGTTTAAAGAAAAAGCTCGTGTTTATTGTAACATCCTCCTTTCAATTTTACATAAACTACAAAATCACAGCTTTTCTTAGAGAACATGAGCTTTAATGAAAATGGTATGAATGAAACATACCAAACTCATTATTTAAATGAAGTTAATTTTATCCACGTCACATGTTGTACATGAAAACAACCACCAGATGTCGCTATTTCAGAGTATCAAACTCTTGGAAGCAACAGGCCATTTTCGGAGCGACCATCTCAAAGTGGTTCATTGCTTCAGGAAGCCTCTGTTTCACCATCAATACCAGAAACCATGGAGGAAACAAGCAGAGCAGAGACACATCTAAAGACTAGCAGCAATAAGTGAAGGCTCTGCAGCTGCTTAAACTCTCTGAACCTTGATGAGGCCGACGGAAAATACCTGGGCAGGTGACCCAGTGGTCTCAAACAAAGATCCTCTTAGACAAGGATGACACACTCTTGAAAAAACACACAAACACCTCAGAATACTGAAAAAGACAACAACTAGAAAAAGGTGAATCTCATTAGGATTTTCTGTGATAGTCCATCAGAAAGCAACAAACTGTTAGAAGGTGGAAAATAAAACATAACTTTCAAATTTTCTCACAAACAAAATTGTTGCATTCATGTCAGGCTCCTTCACTATGATAATTATGCTCTATTGGAGATGACAGTGAAGAAATAAAGTCTTCACAGTGGGGGGCGTGACCTCTACGTACCAGATTTTTGATTAACTACTAGACATTACATTTTTTTGTATTTTTTTTATTCAACATTATGTCTTTAAATACACATTAACATGAATCCAACATGTAAGGAAATGATTAAAAAAGAGGCATAAAATAATGAAAATCAGTCATAAATGAACGAACACATTTAGCGAGCAGAAATCTGTACATTGTGGCAAAAGTTCAGCATTTCTGGCAGCTTTTAATTATTAGATAAAAAGTTGTGGATTATTTGCCTGCATTGACTTTGTTCTGAATAAACAAAGTCAATCTGTAATCAGAATATTTTATAAATGCAACATGAAAACAAATAAAATAACTAAAAAATATATGAATTATAAAATGGTTTAAAAAATACTAGGAGTGGGAGATATTGTAAAACTGTAAAACATAGTATGTATTTGTAAAATAAACCATTAAAAATATACAAAAATATTTAATGTATTCAAACTTCATCATAGCTCCTGTACACATGACTAATAATTTCTGAAAAACATTTTTTTCAGCATTGCTAACAGGATTTTTTTGTAAAATGTTTGTTTTCTAACAGTTACAGACTTTTCAAAAATGTTCAACACAAAATATAAAGAAATATGTAAGAAAATAAAGGATTTAAGAATGTTCTTATGAGATTAACTTAAATCCCATAATAAACCAGTAAAATGTGAAGCTACATGTTATAGTTGTTACCCAAAGCTGCTCATGTTCTGATTTCAGAATAAACTGCATCTGCATCTGTTGCTGCAGGACTTTGCCTTCCTGTAAATGAAGAGGTTGATTATTAATTCTTATATACACTGTGTGTGAAACATAAGACATATTAGCAAAAAGAGTGATAGAAGGAGACTATATCTTTACCTTCATCCTTTTTCTGATAATTGATGTTAGCATACATTGGAGTTGAGTCTGAAACAGAAAACAGAGTAAAGATACAGTGATGTCTGATTTATCAGTTTCTGCTGTTGTCCAGTGTTAGGATGCAGTTGGTCAGGACAGATGATAATCTGACCTGAAATCAGCTGCAGCGTGAAGACATAAAGACATATTTCACTACAAAGAACTCACAGTGTTTCCCGAAGTCTCTCAGTTCAATCTGGGTGTATGTCGCATCACTGGGTCCATCTGCTACTGAAACATATCAGGTTTATAGATTAGTTAGTGATTCTCTATAATTAAACAGCACAGAAACAACCAGGGGTGAAAGTAGTTTTACATTTTTGGGGGTTCTGTGCTCATTACTTTTTTGCGAAGCATTAAAAGCTGGGTAGCTCTTGAATTGCTACAAAATAGAGCTGTATTTCCCTCAGCCCACTGGCTGCAATGTTGACACCTTGATATGTCATGAGACCTAATTTTGAACATCATGGCATGGAGTGCATCCCAGTTTTCCATGTCTGGCATATAACCATTCATTTTAGCTTTTAAACTGGTTTTATTGATCCTGTGTCCAGATAGAGTGGCCTAGCATCATGACCTGATTTTTCTGAAGAACCTGCAGCTTCCACTTCGTCTTCCTAACATGGCGCCTCCT